AAAATAAAAATAATAAAGATCTTAAGTCCAACATGGTGCTCACATATGCATACTGACAATCCATAGAAATAGTGCTTCTATACAAGAAAAAGGAAACTCTTTGTTTCAATAAAGAAAGAAATGCTCGATGCCATAAGGAAACTAGATTGTCTACATTAGAATTAAAGTATTAAATTATGTATTATATTACCTACTATTGGAATTTAACTACTGACTACATTTGAGTATTGTCCAGTGGAGCCGAACCAACATGCTGCCAAGCATTCTTATCTTCAAGATAATCTGTCAGTGTGTAGTAAGCTTGATTACATAATTCGCGCTTAATATATGTTTTAAATTTACTTTCATTGAGATCTAGTATGCTATTTGGTATTTTATTATAGCATTTAATACCTAACCCCATAAAGGATTTCTGTACTTTGGACAGTCTGAATTGCGGTATAGCTAACTTATTTTTGCCTCTAGTATTAAAATTGTGTCTATCGCTTCTTTTTTCAAACAATTGCCTATTTTTCCTTACATACATTATATTTTCATATATATATTGACAGGGCACCGTTAAAATATTTATCGTTTTAAACAATTCTCTCAACGATTCGCAACGGCGTAAGTTATATATTGCTCGGATAGCCCGCTTTTGCAGAATAAATATTGATTCTATTTCTGCAGCTCGACCCCACAACAAAATGCCGTACGACATAATGCTGTGGAAATAACTAAAATAGACAAGCCTAGCTGTATCCACGTCCGTGAGCTGTCTAATCTGTCTAACTGCAAAAGCAGCTGAGCTCAATCTCCCCGAAAGCGCCTTTATATGCGGACCCCATTGTAGCCTATTGTCTAACGTAATGCCTAAAAATACTGTCTCGTCGACAAATTCTAACTTTTGACCGTTCAAAACAATATCACAATCGTTACTACGCACGTTTGGTAAACTGAATTTAATACATTTTGTTTTTTTTTCATTAAGTGCTAGATTATTAATGGTAAACCAATTATGCACTTGAAGAATGGAGCTGTTTACGTCGTCAAGATTATTTGTACGTCGATCTACTTTAAAAATTAATGATGTATCATCTGCAAAAAGCACCATTCTTGGTTCATTTTTAAATATAAATGGCAAATCATTTATATAGACTAAAAAGAGAAAGGGACCCAATATTGAACCTTGAGGAACGCCCATATTCATCCCAGAGCCCTGTGAGTTAATACCGTTAACATGAACCTTTAACTGTCTTTCTTCTAAATAAGATTTCATAAGACGGAGCGCAGAGTTTCTTATCCCGTAATGATCTAATTTCAGCAAAAGTGTTTCGTGGTCAACGCAATCAAATGCTTTTGAGAGGTCACAAAATACACCAATAGCATCCTGTGCTTCCTCCCAAGCACCAAATATTTCCTTAATCAAAGTGACACCGGCGTCAGTTGTGCAACGACCTTTAGTGAAACCGTATTGTTGTTGGTGAAAGATGGAATGTTTATTAAAATGATGAAGCATCCGAGACAGCATCAACTTTTCAAAGACTTTGCTGAGAACCGGTAAAACAGACACTGGCCTATAGTTGTTAGGTTCTTTAGTGTCACCACTTTTAAATAGTGGGATAACCTTACTATATTTCATTAGGTCAGGGAAAACACCGTCATCTATACATTTATTGAAAATCACAGCCAGATATGGCGCTACAGTTTGGATAAGTGACTTGCAAACCATTACCGATAAGCCCCAAAGATCCTCCGTATTGACATGATTCTATGTTGTTTTTAAGCAAAGTTACAGAGAGGTTTGCTGATGACTTTAAATGTTCAGTTGTTTTAATAGGAATACTAGTAAAAAAATTTTCAAACTCCTGGGCTACATCTACGTTTGATGAAATCTGTCCCCTGTTTAGAAAGGAAATGCCATTACTCAATTGCAGGGTGGGCGCGTGACGCTGGAGAAGGACGTGAACGTGCCGCTGTACCGCGTGTGGTCGCTGGAGGCGGCGCTGGCGCACGCGCCGGCCGTGGGCCCCGCGCTGCGCCTGCACTCGCGCGCCGGACACGCGCGCCTGCGGCAGCTGCTGGCCGACACTGGGTAGCTATACTACTTGGAATATGTACGCTAGCTTCATTGGTTGACTAGTCGTAGTTGCAATCTCACATGGGGCAAAGTGCAAATCCTGAGGTTCTGTGTAAAAGCCTTTGTATTTGCTTCATAGCTATAACACAGAACCTTTGCTTCATAGAAGATAATACGATTTAAAGTAACGAAAAGTTCGGTACACTTTTATTTCCCTGCCTCGACTGCCTCATTGGCTGAGTGGTCGCAAGTGCGACTGCCTCAAGGTAAGGGCTCTCAGGGTCAATTCCCGGGTCGGGCAAAGTGTTACTGGTGTTTTTTTAAAATAAAATACTCAAAAGTTGCATGGAGTCTGGAATTGTGCCTGGATATATCAAGCACAATATGTCCAGGATTGAAGAATTGTGCCTGATATATCCAGGCACAATTCCAGACTACATGCATCCGGAAATAGGCTCACCTATTACATGGAACTCATAACATAAATAGTAAAAAGTGGGTATTAAAAAATAGTGGGAAGTTGTACAGTGCCGTATGTGCACCTACCCCTTAAGGGATAAAAGGCGTGATGTTATGTACCTTTCTTAAACTGTCAATCACCAAGCAGACACCGGCGACCGCAACCTATTATTCTATAATTGTGTCTATAATGACGGTACTCGACGAGTTAAACTTAATAAAACGTTTTATTAATTCTATTGGAATGTTCTAGAATAAAAAATTTACAATTTTTACAATATCAACTGATTTTATTGCAACTGCAAGGCGAGTTATCAATTATTATCACACCATTGCAAGCCTGATTATCAAATATTGCAACGATAAATAGTTACGATAATTGATTATAATGATCGGCTTTTAACATTATAAACATGAAATCTGTTTTACCGTGTTTACTTTTGAAAAACGTATAATAGTATTATTTAAAGATAGATAACTTCGACTTGATTAGAATGTATAAAAAAATCGATTTTTATCAAACCAGAACTACCTAATGTAGGGGTCATTGCCCTTCCTTGTTTGTTAAATTAAACGATTACAGCGAACTGTAATAATGTCACGTACAAATTATAATTGAAGATCTTTCACCTCTTCTTTTGTTTATTTCGACATTGTCACGTATTTAATGAAAAATATAAATAAAACGATGACTCGACTTTTTTTATAATACAACTGATTGATAAGGCTAAACGTAACTGCTAACTGATAAACATTTTAAAGCTGTGATCTTCAATCCACCGACAAAGTATAGAGATTTTGACTCTTCTCATAGTCTACAGGAGACGTTCATAGGCTACTATTTGGTTATAGTTTTTTTTATTGCATAGAGTGTCAAACGAGCCGTGAGTACTTGCAACACCAAAACACTTTAAGTGTGTAGCCAGCCTTTTAGTGTTTGAGGAATTCGAAATGAGGGTAAGGCTGAGGATACAAGTGAATTTATTTCTGCAAATAGGCTACAAGGCAGCACTTTTACACGTCAATTTTATCAAGCGAACGATGAGGTCGACATTTCCTAACTGACAACTCTGAGAAGAAATGCCGAAACAAACTCAGAGGTCTGTCTCTTTTAAAGTCCAGACAATACGTATAAAAGATTATATGTGAGAATAGAGATAGGCCTAGAGTTCCATAAACATACTAAACCCATTGAAAATCATCCCCTAAATTTGTTCCTACCAAAGTAGTCTCTAAACATTGGAAATACGGTCTATAATAATATATCTATATAATAAGGTAACCAGTGACCGCTTGGGGATATATTATTGTGTCTCCAATCTAACTGACCAATCTGGTAGTCATTGCGATACCTATGTTCAGCAGCAAATATCTTCTGACTTCCTTGGTAATGACTGTAACTACATAACTTCGCCAGTCTCCCATGGGGGTAGGCAGAGACTATGGAACGCCAATTGCTACGATTTCTACATATTTCTTTCGCTTCATCAACAGTCATCAATCTTTTCATACATGCTCGTCTGTTAAGGGTACTTTTAATTTGGCCCTTTTTTATTATATCGCCAATATATATGTCCGTCTAGGGCGCCCTGTATCGACGGCATCATTCATATCCGCTCTGTATACTTTCGTTACTCTACTTTCCATTATTTCTATGTCCAAACCAGCGTAACATTCCCTGTAACTAATTTATCTATAATATTTATTTCCAGCATCCCCCTCCAGCAAGCTCGTCAAGCCTATCGTTCAATGGACGTGGAACTCCGGCGCTCCCTGCTGACGTCCCTGGAGACCGCGGCGCCCAAACACAAGCTGCCCGTACCCAGCCACACTACCTTCCTACTGCAGCGGGTACACTCGCCTACTATAGCCGCCATCGACATCGTCTACGCTATTTTGGGACTTATTGAACATGTAATATAGACTTTTATTAAAGTTTCATTTATAATAACTATCGTGAGACATACTAAATTAGGTAAAAACGCGGGTTACTCACGTGAATATACTGAGAAAAGTTCTACTAGTTTCGAACCACCGCCGCGACCGCGCACGCTGCTCATAAGGAAGAACCCCTCTGTGGTTCGAAACTAGTAGAGCTTTTCTCTGGCTGAAGAATGTAACACCCACTTTTCACTATTT